TCGAGTTTCTCATATGCAGAATTTGTGGTCCCAGTCTTTACTAGCAGATACTGTACCAGAGTAGTGTCAAGAGAGATGTGGGAAAGATCGTATGCATCTGTGATTTCTATCTCACCCACAACCCAGGGGTCCTCAGCATAAAACTGAGGATCTTTTAGATTTCCTCAGACCCAACCACTCCTTTCCAGTGGTATCTTACCCTGAGGGTCAGATGGTCCAGTGCCTAGAGCAATTGTAATCAACGGGCAGGATCCATCAGATGTGGCAGAGAATGGGATGCATAAATTTTTTGTTCAATATGTGTTTTGACTTAGTTGTGTGTCTTATTACAGACCAACTGGCTGTGCTCTGATCATTCACTGTGACTAGTAAATTTTCACCTGTACTTGAAGTTTTGCCTGTTGGCTGAATTAGGCACCAATTCACTGTGCAGCCTATAGGGGGCCGGGACAAATATTTTTTACCTCCTGTCTTTAAGAGGCGCATGCTGAAGGTGGCTATTTTCAGTCTAGGCCCAGTGCAAAAGGAAAGACTAATTTGACACTATCCTTTCCCCCTGCCTTTCCCTCCTCCAGTCCACACACCCACCCATGAGGTCCTACACAGCAGCTGCCCTTCTCCTGACTTCCCCCAGAAACCTGTCAGCTCTGCTTCTTAGTTGGTCAACAGGATGGGTGCGAACGGGCTATGCTCCCTCTTCAGCACTTTCAGTACTCACTGTCCTGCAGTGAGCAACTTGGAGTGGGAGTCTTTGCCACAGCAGTGCCATTTGGGTGGACTGGAGTTTAGGAAGCAATAAAAGCTACTACAAAACAGAGGTCAGGATGACTTGGGCAATTCTACCACCACACACTATCTGCAAAGGGAAAGCAATGCCTCTCTGTCAGTGGAGCAGGAGGGTCAGTGCATCAGTATCACGAAGGAGCTAAGAGGGATGGAGAATGTATAGTGGGGATTGAGAAGAATATTGGGTTTGACCTCTTGCAGCCACAGCAAGCCAACAAAGTCCCAATATGAGTTGAAGCCAAATGAGTAACACCCAGCAATGACAGCACCGCAGAAAGGAGGCAAAGCCCCCGTGATGTGAAAGGAAAAAGGATGCAAAAATTAAAATGATGATAACGTCTGAGTTCTCATGTCAGGAGCTGGGCAACCTGCATAGGGACACTATTTTTAATGATGATTTGCATTACACTAGCCCCCAGAGATTCCAACCAAGAATCAGGGTCCATTGTGCTATGCACTCTATAGACACAGGGAGAGATTACAGTCTAACTCGATCGGATAGGCAATAGGAATTATTATCCCCATTTTACAGATTGGAAACCGAGGCATAGAAAGATTAAGTGACTTGTCCAAATTCATATAGGGAGTCTGTGGCAGAGCTGGGAATTGATCCCGGGTCTCAGACCAAGTGCCTTAATCACAAAGCCATCCTTCCTCTCGTAGTTTTCCTTTTTAATTGTGACTTTTGGTATTTATTATTTGTATTTGTTGACTTTTTCTATCGCAGTGCAATTATAAGGAAGGGGCTGGATGTCGCTGAAATATGATTAGGTATTAAAAAGAATCTGTAGGTCTCTATTGTACCAGGAAGCCCTAGAATAAGCCAGTTCAGTTTTGTGGTCATGAACTTTTATGAGGTAAAGGTAAAACAATATTTTTGAAACAAACAAACAAACAAACAAACAAACAAACAAACAAACAAACAAACGGAAAAGCTTGAACAAAAAGTGATTGATGACTATTTGGGGGCTGCTTTTAAATTGAGATTGTAGGGGTTGATGACTGAGAAGGGGATGGGAAGAACCTATTGGTAAGAGAAAATGTAATCTCTAGTTTTATTGAAGAGTGGAACTAACTTTCTGTTGAAGGCAGCCTGCTAAGCTCTGTACAGCTCTCAAATGAGTCTCCAGTGGGAAACAACAAAGCAGTAAACATCTGTTTCAAATTTCACTCTTGGAAACAGCAATATTACACAATCGCATCCAGTCTGGGCATAAGCTAGTACTCAGAACAGATCTGGATCTGTCAACCCCAAGTTACACAAAGGACCCACCAGAATCACATTAAAAGAAACAGCTACAAAAATTATGGGACTTGCAAGCATCCAACTCCCAAGTTGTGATGTTAGTTTGTAAGACCCCAGGTTCTTAGGTCTTGTTGGCATGCAGAGTTGCACTGGTTTAGCTACAGGTGTGATTTTAAGCTGATGTGGATAAACTGGTTCACACCCCAGTGTGGACATGCTCATTTCAGTTTAAATCAGCAGAGGTTATCAATCTTTTTCTTTCTGAGCCCCACCCCATGCTATAAAAACTCCAGGCCCCACTTGTTCCACAACAACTGTTTTTCTGCATATAAAAGCCAGGGCCGGCGTTAAGGGGTAGCAGCAGGGCAATTGCCCAGGGCCCTGCAAATCTAAGTTGCTCAGGCTTCAGCCCCGGGTGGCAAGGGCTTGGGGCCCTGGGCTTCAGCCCCGCGTGGTGGGGCTTCGGCTTTCTGCTCTGGGCCCCAGTGAGTCTAACGCCAGCCCTGCTTGGGGACCTCCTGAAACCTGCTTGTGGACCCCTGGCTGAGAACTGCTGGAATATAGTATGCTTCACTTCCTGTACTCAGTTACTGGGGAGTCTTGCCAGGCACTGTTAAACAGCGGCCACTTCTCACCAGAGGTGGCCGCACCTCCTGCGATTCATCTCTGTGCACTGTACAACTGCACAGTTTATTGTACAATTCATGAAGCTAAATCTCCAAAGCTCCCTAGGGTGCATTTGGTGCTACAGAAATACAAGTTCATCCTCATTACACTCCCTCCGGATGTATCCTCAGTGATTTCCACATTCCTACATGAATATCTATAGTAACTGGTCTTTTTACTGAAATAACAGCGTAGGAGAATTTTAAAAACTCCAATAACTTCAGGACAGTTTTTCTTACGAATAGGATTTTACCATTAAATCATCCTTGTTCCCCTTTAAAGAAGCTTTTTTAACCAACTCTTAATGTGCATGTAACATACTTTTCAAAGTGTGGTTCTCCCAACACCTGATTTACATGAAGGAGCCGATAGCTGGAGCTCACATAATAATCCTAGCAGTTCAAGACATACTAAGAAGGTGGAGACTCATAATGTTACAAAATATTCTGCTGGGAGCAATGACAGGGAGAAAGCTGAGGCCAGCTTATCTGGTGCTTTGTCCTATGAACTGCCATGTTAACACAGAGCCCGCTCACAAATTAATCCAGCGTTGGACAAGAAAGGTCACCACTGAAAGATAAACTCTTTTTCGATAAAGTGTTGAGAAATTTCTAAGTCATGACTCATTATGACATTTGCCTTAGCATATGGTGTATTGCTCGAAGGGGGATTCAGAATGCCTCTCTGGGAGGGAAGGGAAAGGGCATTAGTTAAAGCATGACCAAGTCGGGCAAATAAATGCCACCCGACTCAACTCAGCTCATCCAAATTCAATACATACAAAGAAGTGGGAGAGGGGGGAAATGGAGGTTACTTACTTGTAACTGGAGGTTCTTTGTGATGTGTGGTCCCTATCTGAATTTCACATGTGGGTACATGTACTCGCGCCTGAGTGGGGAATTCTTTTTAAAAGCATAGTCCATTAGCCCACTCACGAGACCAAGACCTCTCCAGTTTCCATTCTTACTGCAATCCAAACAATCCACAGCAAAGGGGAAAGAGGGCAAGTAGTGGAATACATATAGGGATCACCCATCTCAAAGAACCTTCAATTACAGGTAAGAAACCTCCATGTCTTCTTCAAGTGATGGTCCCTATGTGTATCCCACACATGGGATATTAGCAAGCAGTAATCAAACAGGAGGTGGGTGCGAGGACATAGAAGTGATAACTGACTGTAGTTCAGCTGTCCCCACAGCTGGATCCGCAGTGGATGTCTGGACCAGAGCGTAATGTCTCATGAAGGATGGCAGAGAGCTCCAAGGAGCTGCCCTACACATCTCTAGTAGGGATACGTCTCTCAGCTTGCCCTGTGGTGGAATGTGCCCTCACCCCCTCTAGGGGGTGAATGCGAGCTAGCTGGTAACAAAAGGTAATACAGCCAAAGAGACACTTAGGAAGTCTCTTTGGAGAGGCACTGGCCCACACCACCCTTGATTCATCCTCGGTTCGGAGCAGGAGGAGTGCTATGGCACACGATTGGACAGGCGGACACTGCTTGTAAAAAAATTCCAGAGTCAGACGCATGGTGTGTATTCGTACCCACGAAGGGACCATCACATGAAGAACTAAAAGATTTAGCCATAAGATTATTGTCCTACATGGAAAATGTGCATGATACATGAATTAAGATCAATCCATTTAAGGCTTTTGGGTACTGTGGAAATAAATTACACCTGATGAGAAAATACACTCTTAAGCACCATTAAAGTGCATAGTATTTCAAAGGAAACAAACAAGGTGAGATATTTACACAGGTATAAAACAGGCATTATATAGATATAGCTATTTCTCTGGACATATGAGCTACATTTAACGTTAGGTAAAAAGATATTTTCCTCACGCAGTTGAGAAACTCGCTTAATTAAAAAGTAGAGTTAAAAATTTATGAAAAGCAATAAAAGTCACCCAAACTGAGTTAAACCCTTACATTTCAATTCTGAAGGATAAATTAACTAAGGGCCTGATCTAAAGCCCACTGAAGTCACTGAAAAGACTATATATCTATCCAGAGATTTATATGGTCCTCACCAATGTAGTATGAGAACCTGTATACCAGCACTCCGTAGGATCAGGCTACCATTGACTCCAATGGGTTTTGGATCAGGTCCTCAAAGAGCAGGGATCCCTGACCTTAAGGATTAAAGCAAAATCAGTCAAAAATTGTGGAATCAAATAAAGGGCTAAAGTGAAGTTCCATAGCCAACCGTGAACTGACATGCAGGCCTGTTTTTGTGCACCATTAAATAGGTGATGTATATAATCTTTTGTTTCCCCCAAATGAATGAAATGCTATACAAACCTGGGCTCTTAAACTGATCCGGGCTGGGAAGGTGGTGGAGGGGGGAGTTACTCGCTGAAGCAGCGTGCTCACTACGAAGCATCTGAGCCACTCGAGGCCCCATGGAACCATAGTCCGCGTACGATAACGGGGCCCGTTGGTCACCGGGCGAAGAATAGAAACCATAATCGGGGATCCCTGGAGATACAGTGACTCTATCATTGTGGATACTGGATTCTTTCTTATATTAGTCTTTTCAATGTTAAATACTGTGCTATTGCTTTTTTCTTTGCTTTGCTTTTTTAATACAGTTACAAATATGAGACATTGAAAAGTAAAAACTGAAATTTGAAGAAGAATTGTGCAAAATGTGATTAGAGGAAATCAAGGCGACTTATTCTAGTCAGTGTATGCAGAGGCAAGAAAACCTCTAGTTTTAGAGAAACCACCAGATGAATTACTGGACTTCCTCTTCCACAATACATTAGAATGAAATATAGTGTCCCGGTTATTACAGTAAGAAATACATTGCATATAGAGAGGAATAGTTGACAGCAGAAGTGAGCCAACTGGAGCTACCTTAGCTATAATTTATCCATGTAAGCTTCCACTCCCTCCCATTAGAAATATATGTGTATATGAATCTGTATACTGTGTGTGCGTGTGTATGTGTGTATGAACACACACACCCAAAAGCATGCATCCATCTATCCTGAACAATGCACTTATATCTACACACTTTATCTAATGACGTACAATCAGAACAAGTCTATGCTCTCAGCTACACCAGCGTAAACCCAGAATAATTGTTAATGTCAGTGGAGTTGACCCTGGTACAGCTGAGAGCAGAATCTGGCCCATAAACATTCAGCGCCAGTCTCATTTTAATAGATGTGCTATTCAGAAAGCGTATACTGTTATCTAGAGTACCACACAAGGAGCAGAGAGTGACTTCAGTTTATAGAAAAGAAACAACAAAATATTCCTGGGTAAACATCTCCTGTATAAATTTTACAAATCAGGCTACAAGTTCCTTCCTTCAAGCGGAGCAGATTTGAGACTTTTTAAAAATAATAGTAATAAAAAAATTAACAAGAGGAAATGATTGTTTACTCTTTGCATTACAACCACAAGCTGCCACTAGAAGAAAATGTTCCGAACACCTGCAAACCTGCTGCTCTTCCACAATTATAATTGGTTTCAAACTAAAAACAAAAGCAGGCCTGTGCTTGTGGTTACAGTAACTGAGAAGAGGAGAACGGGGGGGGGGGGGGGGAGATAACAGGAAAAGAAAGACTTTACATTAAATTTAACATCTACTGTCTTGTCAACTGCCGAGCAAAAGAGGCCCCTCGATATCCCGGTATGCCTACACTGCAGTCCAGAGATGTGAGAGCTGGATCGAAGCCAGCTTGAGTGTCAAAAGCTATGAAGCCGTGGCAGCATGGGAGGCTGCAGGGGCTAGCCCTGGCTGCCCAGAACCCTGGGTACATACTAGATCATATTAGATCAAGCTAGATGAAAACTTGCTTGGGTACATCTACGAACGCTGCAGAAATGCCTCCTGACTGTAGTATAGACATGCCCTTGGTCTGCCGTGTTGGCTAATTAAAGGCTGGCTCCAGTAGTAAAGCGAAGCGAGAGTATGCGGAAAAGCAGCAAACAGCTTTCATGCCGAGAATGAAAAGGTGTGGGCAGCTGGGATAAGAATTAAACAGAGTGAGCTGCCTGGGAAATTACTTCCTTCCTCCACTTCCTCCCCGCATCTCTCTTTTTATAAAATAGTTCTTCCTCAGCTGAAATTTCCTTCTGATTTCATGCCAAGCATTTTCCAATGGTTCTCTCTCACCCAACGCCTGTCATTTCCAATCAACTTTCTTTCTTCCAAGCTCCTCTCCACTCTTGCTCTATCCTATTAACCCTGGCGGTTGCTTTCTGCATGTCCATGCTCCCTGACAACTTGTTGATCTAGCTCTCTAATTTCTGGATGACTCTCTCCCCTCTCCTATCATAAACAGCCACGCACAATTTGGCAGACATTTCCACCATCAGTGTTTATGATAATAACTACACGTGCTAGAAAGCAGCAGGAAATTTTCAATATAACTATCATTAAGACAAAACGCTTTAAATCAAAGCCATTACCCGCTACTGAGACTTAAAGCTCACAAGATTAGGCCGCTTTTTATCTTTATGAAAAATTCATAAAACATGCTGCAAAAACATCTTCCTGTTCGAAGGAGTAAATGATATAACAACATTTAACGCTACCGATACAGATGAAAGTGGATACCAGAGCGGCGCAGGGTTATACACATCAGGGAGATGGCATTCAACAAGGAGCTCTGAGACACGCGGAGAGGGGCATAAACGAAATGGAGGGGGAAAACTCCTGGCACGACACTCAAACATCACATTCCTGGAGACAAGTGGCAACCATTTGAAGATGTTGCTGGTTGACTGTCAGTTTTTTAGCATAACATATTGAATGAGTTTATGTTTTGAGGGCAAGGCCAAATCTACAAAACTGGGTTCTAGAGGGAAACTTTCCCAAAGTTTTGAGGGCATTTGAATTGGGGCTTTCCATGAGCATTTTCATCTGCGCTCCCGCTCTGGTTTTCTTAGGTGCTTGTATAGACAGCTAGGATAGAGGGATATACATACACGGCCTCCATTTTTAATTGCCCAACTAGACAGACCATAAAAGAGCCTGATTTTCAGAAAGTGCTGAGCACTTGCTCTCTGAAAATCATGCTCCTTTAAGGTCTCTCAAGCTGGGCACCCAAAACCATGAGTCACTTCAGACAGCGTGTGTGCGCGCTTACACACTCACATCTACATACGTAGGTTAATATCCCCAATAGTGCCAAGCATTATAGTGCTATAGAGGTCGGGAGAGAGAGACGACGCCTCTTTCACAACAGGTAGCTTCCATTCATTAATATTTAGATAGTGCTTTCAAGGTGTAAAGAGTTAGGTAGTGTTTGAGAGACAAGTGCTGTAGCTGGATTTTAAAAGGAGCTGGGTAATGTTACAGATTGTAGTTACAGAAGCTAAAATAATAGGTAAGCAGATCTCATGTGTCAAGACATGAGATGACCATAAGCAGCCATTGGCATTCAGAGATCTTTTTGCCTTCCTCTAACACATCAGGTATCGCAATATACAGAAACCGAATTTGCTGAAGCAGAGTAGGTCAACCGTTCACATCTGGTATGCTGTCTGTGTCAGTGGCCAATATGCGAACGCTTCAGAGGAAAGTGAAAGGAAAACGTCATACACCCGGCTGATTGGGCAATACTGGTTAAGTTGGGGTGGGGCAAAGACCTCCTTCCAGACCCCTCTGGTAATCAAATGATGTTCTGAAGCATGAGTGATTATCACTCAGCATGCATGACTGCAGAGGTTATTGCTGATCATAACATTATCCAGACCCTTTAAAAATGCAGCTACAATATTTGATTATACTACTACTTATCATTCAGCATCTTCAGAGCCCTGTACCAACATTAACTAATTAGTCCCCATGACCTTAGTGTATTATTATCCCCATTTTACAGGTGAGTAAAGAGAGGTCAATGACCTGATTTACAGAGGTGCTGTGCACCGCACTCCCATTTACGCTCATGGGAGAGAGCCTGGTTTTCAGAGGAGCTAGATACCCCACGTGTCTAGCCAAGGCCACACAGGCAAGTCAGTGGCAGAGTCTGAAACAGTCTGCAGACTCTCCTGGCTCTTAGTCCCATATTCAGATCCATTAGAATATACTGCTTCTCTGACTTGCTGCAGTAGCAAACATCACAGTGCTACCAAGTCCAGCCTCTTCCAAATCCATTTGCTACATCTCAACAGCCTTATATAGCTATGCTGCTAGATACAGTATGCTCTTTTGTGATCAGGCACCAGAAGCTCTAAATCCTTCACACACAGAATATCGCTTTCTGTCAATGACCGACCGCTGCCAGACACTTTGGTCCCTGCCTGGGGCACGTTTCCTAAGGACTGAAATGTTTTGGTCGAACTAAAGTCTCTGGGCTTAATATACGGGTATCTGGGTGAAAATGAATAGTCTGTGATATATAGGAGGTTAGACTAGATGATCTAATAGTCGCTTCTGGGCTTATTGCAGGGATAACAGCAAAATGGCGGCACGTGGGGTAAAGATTACTAGGCATAGCAGTTAGAGCTAGAACTGAACAAAGCGTCAGAGGACTGGTATGCTCCTAAACCCTATGCACACGACAGGCACAGTTATAAGCATTAGCACTGCTCAAATCCACACCTAATAATTATCCAAACCATGTTCAAAAACCAGATATAAACTAACCGGGGCCTATCTACACGACAATTACAACTATAGGCAGGGACCCAGTTACAACATGACCACCCCCGACTCTTTTCCAACACGTTTCTTTTGGGGTAGCGGAGATGGAACTTTGCCCGTTCCCTACGCTGGGCTGAAGCCAAGCCAACTGAAGTGCAGATAACATAGCATAGTCTTGGCTATGCAGTGTATCAGAGTCAGGCACACAACCCGTCAGTGACGTCACAGTAAAACGGCTGTAAGAGGGGGGTAAATCCATGGTTGCAACAAGAAGAGGTGATCTAAAAGTCTCTCTGTATGCGGTAACTGTACCAGCAGCAACTACTGATGCGCACCGCTGTTGTTAGCCTGTTTCAAGCCCTAGCTTGGATATGGGCCTGCTAGAATGATGTTGGAGTATTAAAAATACTTGACGAGCACTGATTTGCAAGAAGACACAAAATACAATCTATTCAAGCCTGTCTCTTCTGAGTCCCGTAATTACGTGCCACGAGAAATAAATACGTTTCTCGGCTTAACTGTAATTTTTTGCGAGCGATCAATATTTATTGCCTAATCACATTTTCCATATTGCAAGTTAATGGTGTCACTCTCACATGGGGCCAGAGTACTACACAGACGCCATGCAAAGCTTCACTTCTAGAAACTGCAATCAGGGAGCCAGCTCTTGTCGCAGCCTTTACAAAAGGATTTCCACTCGAGCGGCTCATCTTTAATCATTATAAAAGCACAGAAGTTTAATCCATTTTTGATGTAAGCGCTAATAGCTTTGTGTCCTTGAAGTTCAAAGTGGTCTTCGTGCATGTCGCTAATTAGCCGAGCAAGCAGCCATTCAGCTCCCTCTCATGTTTCTAATTAGATCCTTAACAACAAA